AATGAGAACATCTTATCGGCATGACGTCATCGCTCGCGCATAGCCTGCGCTCTGTAGATCACGTAACAGCTGCTTGCGTGGTCTACTGATGTGGTGAGACGAAGCGAGTTGTTCTGGACATCTCTCTGATCGTGAGACAAGCGATTATTTTAAATCTAAGACAAAATTACGTGCTATAGGGTTCGCGTTAACTATTATCAAACGGTGGCATTATCAGTCTTTGAACGAAATCGTGCTGTTATGTAGCTGCATGCCTGCGCCACCTATACGTTGATTATGATATGTATGCCCAATTTCCTAGGACAGCTTTCCAGCTAGTATACTCGAATGAAGTTATTGAAGCATCAGTGCTTGCTATAAATAATAATAATACACCTCTGTCAGCGCATAGCTCAGCTGCTGACTTGCGATCACTCATGTGCTGTCACACGGTTCAGCCTTAGCAGCTTCCCAACCACCATACTCGTAACAAATTATTCAAGCATCAATGCTTGCTATAAATATTAAATAATCTACCACTGTGCATATAGCTCAGATGCTGACTTGCTCATTCATGTGCTGTCACACGGTTCAGCCTTAGCAGCTTCCCAACCACCATACTCGTAACAAATTATTATTCAAGCATCAATGCTTGCTGTAAATATAAAATAATCCACCTCTGTGCTGGCTTGCTCACTCATCAGCTGTCACACAGTTCAGCTTTAACAGCTTCCCAGCCAGTATGTACTCGTAACAAATTATTCAAGCAGCATTGCTTGCTATAAAAATAAAATAATTATATACTACTTCGCATAGCTCAGCTGCTGGCTTGCTCACTTATATATGTGTGCTTCCCAGCCACTTGTAACAACTTATTCAATTAGCGTCAATGACCACCACCGCTTCAATAATCCACCGCTTTGCATAGCTTAGCTGCTAACTTGCTCACTCATGTGCTGCTACATAGGTAAGCCCTCTGAGCATTCCTACCATCATACTCGTAAGATATTATTCAAGCATCATTGCTTGCTATAAATATATAAAAATAATGATCTACTACTTCGCATAGCTCAGCTGCTGACTTGCACACTCGTGAAGTCTTGATTGCTTACCAGCCAGCATACTTGAATGAAGTTATTCCAGCATCACTGCTTGCTATGAGTAAAATCTAAGGCTCTTTTGCGCAGCGCTCACTCGATTGCTTTGTTCACTCACATACGGACACACCTTCTAACCATGATAGCTTCCCATGCGGTATATCCCTACTTCCTATGCAAGCATAATCCTTGCTATAATAAGTAAAAAACAAACAAATTCACTTTTGTGCATAGCTCGCTCATTGTACTTCCTATTCAAGCATACGTCATTGCTTGCTATAAATAAAATAACAAATTCACGTTTGTGTAAAGCTTGCTCATTCTACTGGCCCATCTTCTAACCACGATATCCTAGCTCCCATAATGCTTGCTATAAATAAAAAATCATCCACTTTTGTGCATACTTTCTCCTTGTGCCGATACACCTAACCATGATAGCTTCCCATGCGGTATATTCCTACTTCATATTCAAGCATAATGGTTGCTACAAATAAAAAATAAAAAATCCACATAAAAATTTGTGCATAGCTCACTCATTCTACTGGCACACCTTCTAACCATGGTAACCTCCCATGCGGTATATTCTTACTTCCTATTCAAGCATCAATGCTTGCTATAAATAAAAAATAATCCACCTCTCTGCATAGCTTAATATGCTGGCTTGCTCACTCACCAGCTGTCACACAGTTCACCCTTAACAGCTTCCCAGCCAGTATATACTCGTAACAAATTATTCAAGCAGCATTGCCTGCTATAAATAAATAAAATAATGATCTACCGCTTCGCATCGCTCAGCTGTTATTTAACTACATATTTAAGTCCTGATAGCATTTCGACCAGCATACTCGTAACAACTTATTCAAGCATCGTTGTTTGCTGTAAATAAATAAAATATTAATCTATACTTCTTCGCATCGCTTAGCTGTTGACTTGCACACTCGTGCAGTCCTTATAGCTCGCCAGCCAGCATACTTGAATGAAGTTATTCAAGCATCACTGCATGCTTGCTGTGAATAAAAACTAATCCTCTTTTTTGCGCGTTGCTCACTCTGCATGTTTGTTCACTCATTCTACTGGCCCACCTTTCAACCATGATAGCTTGTGATGCGGTATGTTCCTACCTCTTATTTAAAAGCATATAATGCTTGCTATACTAAAAATCCACTTTTGTGCAAAGCTCACTGATCGTGGTGGCACATTTTTTAACCATGATAAGCTCTCATGCGGTATATATCTAGTTGCTATTCAAGCATTATGCTTGTTATAAATAAAAAATTATCCATTTTTGTGCATAACCCACTTATTCTACGGGCACACCTTTTATAACCATGATAGCTTCCCATGCGGTATATTCATTGTTCCTATTCAAGCATACGTCATTGCTTGCCATAAATAAATAAATAATTCAACTTTGTGCAAAGCTCGCTCATTCTCCGGATACGCCTTCTAATCATTATAACCTAGCTCCCATGCGGTATATTCCTACTTCCTATTCAAGCATAATGCTTGCTATAAATAATAAATAACAAAATCCACGTTTGTGTATAGCTCTCTTATTGTGCTGAGAAATGTTCTAACCATGGTAGCCTCCCATGCGGTATATTCCTACTTCCTATTCAAGCATAATGCTTGCTATAAATAAATAAACATCCACTTTTGTGCATAGCTCACTCATTCTACTGGCACATCTTATAATAATACATATAATATAATAAAAATAGTAAATTATACTATACAAAATAAGTAATTATTTTGTGCAACAGTTGCTCTGGTGACGGTCGGAAAAAGCCTCCCAAATCACCATTTTCCCCAATTTCCAAGGAATCACGTGTTATTAATGTGTCAATTAAATGTGTTTTGTTCCAGGTGTAAAATGGTGCGGAAACCAATTTACGTTTATGCATAGCAACGGCCAGATCTGGCGCGCAAGTGAACACAGGCACAATACGACGCGGGGGGGGGAAAACACAAATACACACCCACACGAACATCTGCGAGCGAGAGACGCGTACACAAGCACCGCACGCACATACACACACATCAACACACACCACACCACACACACACACACACTATACACACACACACACACACACACACACACCAAAACACACACACACATACACACACACACACACATTTACACACACACCACACACGCACAACACACACACATACACATACAACATAAAACACACAGACACACCATACAGCATACACGCATGACACACACACACACACACAACCACACACACCACACACACACACACACACCACACACACACACACATGCACACCACACACACCAACAACACCATGACAGCAATACATTACATAAACACCATACGCACCATACACACACACGCAAACACAATACACACATACACACAGATACACACATACAACACACACACACACATACACACAACACACACACCCAACACACGGATACTGCATACACATACACATACACATACCATCACATTCACAACCACATACACATAACCACATACACATACACAGTACAACACTACACATACACATCACATTACAACATACACATACACAACACATACACCATACACATACACTACCATTCACACACATAACACACATTACACTACACATTACACATACACAATACACATTACAATTACACACACATACACATACACATACACATACACATACACATTACACATACACTACACGATACACTCTACACGTCAATCACATCATCATACACGAGATAAAACACACATAACACAACACCACACACAACACAGTATATATATATATACACATACACAACACGCTACCGGCGCGCACTTGCACGCACGCATACACACGACACACACACACACACACACCCATACATTCACACACCATGCGACACAATACATACAACACATTACACACTTCATACATGCATACAACTACAAACACAGACAACACACACACGACCACACACACACACACATGCACACACACACACACACACAACACAACACACACACACACACACACACACACACAACACACACATCATATATATATAATATATTCCATATATATAATATATAATATATTATATATTATATATTATATATTTACATACATAGCACACATACGCGCACAGCCACGCACGCCACGCCGCACGCTACGGCGCATCGCGCCGCGCGCATATCACGCACACACAAATATCTTTATTATATATATAATCTAGATAAGTTATAGCGGACACGGTTGGAAAATTTTTTGACTCTGTTATTGCAATACAGAACTGTTTCGTGTGGAGCGATAAGCCACATGATCAGTGCCTAATACAGAGTGATCTATTTAGAACATCCCGAGCAGTATAAAAACATCATGCATAATGTCATCTATTGTTCATGCGTGAGCGTTCTAAAGAAATACTATAGATACTAATTAGCGCGTCATTTTCGGTGACTGCTGCGCGTTGGCGCTAAACTGAATTCATTGTAAGAGTTCACAGAACGTTCCTTAATAAGAATTTATCTTTATGTCTGCATTTACTAACGAGTTCGTTTCTCTTGTTCAGTGTCGCGGTCTCAGGTTTGCACAATGTGTAGAACTTCTCTGTTAAGCATAGGTTGCATTTCTTCGTTAAAGCACCACACTACTCGAACACTACGAAGACATGGGTACCAATGTTTTATCTACATTGTGCTACTTTGTATTGGGTTTCTTTCCTGCGAACCTTGGTTGCTAGGCGCTAATAAACGCTATAGTTGGTTAAATCGTAATCACGTTAATAAACATCGGTATGCACATTACATAAACACAATTTTTAATAACATTATAAACATATAATTAATAACAATAATGATAATATTACGCGTTCATCTATACTGTTGGCATTATCTCGACTAATTCCCACTAGTGGCAGCACCGTCCAGTCGCGGTTGTTTTGCAATGTTAACGTAAGCCGGTGTGTGGCCCCTGGATGATCGACAGATCAACACTTCACACTGTACAAACTATAATTTAATAAACCGTCTGCTGAACCGCCGGAAGATTATTTTAAGAAACTAAGGTAGGTGATATAAAAGTTTTAGACATACTGTACACAATAAGCGAGTTCGAAATTACAGCGTTGCAAAGCATATCGAGTATAAATGTAGGTTAAGCCATAGGCGTATAAAGAAATCGCGGTACTGACCTAGCTGTACTACTAAAGGGGTGTATAGCCAGCCTTTCCAAGATGGGGGATTCCTTCCAAGAGGGGGGATTCCAAACCTACTAGTACTATATACTAATAAAATTTCGTTAAAATTTTCGTTTCATGCTTTTATATACATACTGTATCAGATATGTGCTATTTTGATACAAACCAGGGGGGATTCCGGAATGCTTGGAATCATGCACCCCTGGCTACGCCCCTGTACTAGCTACTAGTAATAAGTAAGTGAATTAATTAGTAAATAAGTATCTAGGAAGGTAGGTCAGTACGCACGCACGCGTCGTGATTGTAACCTAACATTCTATTGCTTCTCTTCCCATTTTCAACGGCCTGTAACAATTATGCTGATCTTATACAATATGTAGATAGTCGTACATTTTATAACAATATGTTTTAAGCCTGTACCAAGACTTATAGAACTATTACTTTGTTTATATATATATATATATCTATATCTACATCTAACTATCTATGACTTCTTTTATATTTTTCAGCGTTTATTTCTTTTTAGGGTCTCGTGTATCCTGCTGCTACTGGGTTTGATATTTCCTTTTTTCTCACATTTTACATATATATAGTCTTAGTCGCTCGTTCTCTATAATACTCTTCCATTACCTCATGTTATAGAGCCTACCTTAATTAACTTCTATTTATAGATACTTATATATGCTGACATGGTCCGGGAATAATAATCTGAACTAGGGAAAAATTTGTACAGCGTTTTTTTTGTAAGCGTACGCTACAACATATGCTTGTTTACTGCAGATATTTTTGTTGTCCACGTAGAATCTTGGAACGGAGGCGTCCCACACTGACGGCAGATGCAGTGGGTAAAATAAAGACTAGAGGCAGAAAATGAAGAAAGTACACGTGGAAAGAATCTTTTGCTAATCGCGACTTCTGGTTATGTATAACGTTTATGCACCGATCAAGCGCGTAGCCACGGGTGGGGGGAGGGTCCTGGGGCCCTAGGACCCCACCAATCAAAAAAAAAATTTAGAGCTGCAGAACAAATAGTATTGTCAACAAAACAGCGTCTAAATTGATTTTAAAGCACTATTTTTACATTTAAATCAACAACAAAAATTCATACCACCTTGTTACTCGCTCGAGGACCCCCCAATCCAAATTCCTGGCTACGCCCTTGGCACCGATGCCTACTCGTGTGCACAAATTCTCAGTATGCTATAGCGTGTCCTGCTGCTTCGTAGTTCGACTTTCCGTTCTTTCTTTAAATATTCGCTCCGTTATATGTTAGTCGTTCTTTAGTTTTCTTCCGTTACACTTACAGCGCTGAACCAACCTCATCCTCTGTTTGTGTACATCCCGTGCACACACTTCCTGAGTTAACTCGAGCGGGTGCCCCTACTAGTTAGGACTCGAACACGATTGCGCACCGTATGTTTGTAATCGGTGTAGACTTGAGTTTCTTTTCAGCAGAGATTTTTGTCGACCACGTAGAATCTTGCCAGCACGATGAGGAGCGGTGCCATCACCACGGGCTGATGCAGGAGGAGGCAGAAAAAATCATCATCATTGTAAAAGTGAAATAAATCCTTCGCTATTTTACGCCTTCTCGTCATTTCTGACGACTATGCGCCAACACCGCATCGCTCAACATACATATAATATACACAACACGAATATACTCGCATCGCGGACGCGACTATCCAGCAACATGAAGCATGCATCGCATTAACTACGGGAACCGCTGGGTAGATAGGCGAGAAACCACGATATACGAGAAGAAGATGAAGAAAAAGAAGAAGAAGAAGACGAAGAAGAAGAAGAAGAAGAAGAAGAAGAAGAAGAAGAAGAAGAAGAAGAAGAAGAAGACGAACACACCCCACCCACGAAGACGCAGAGAATGAAGGATCCCGCCGCGCGTGGAAGAATCGCAGTGGTTCTGTCGCTGGGACTGATGTTGATTGTGGGGCTTATCAACGGCCACCATGTACATATAAATCCGATGCACGATTTATTGTAGCCGCGTTTGAGGAATACATGCACACTGTGGAAAATGTTTTGTGTTGTAAGCCAGTGCAATATTTGTGTACGGATAGCTGCTGATATTGGACGGTTTAGAAGTAAAAGTAAGTAGATGGCAGCTGAACAGGACCTACTGCATGCTGGCGACACAATTTATGTGTACATTACACACTAACACTAACACTAACTCTAACTTACACTACACTAACACTAACACGTGACTAAGACATAACCCCGAAATCGCACAGCCATATAACCATAAACCTAATCATTTCCGCTTAATGCACTATTATATTCGTGCGCTCAGCAATAGTAGGTCCTTTTCAAGTGGTCTCCACACAAGAAGCCAAGCGCTAATAGATGGCAAATTAGCAGCGAGCAAATATAAGCCTACTGTGTTCGATCAATATAGATTTAGAACGAGATAGGGAGCCGAGTGGGATAACAACATCAGAATATATCAGAACAATAAAGAAGAACAACACAGAAATAATCAGGAACATGCAGATAGTAAAAGAGTAACCGAACAAATTGCGCAAAATGATCGGCAAAACGGGACAAGTTAATACATATAACATATATCTTCGTGAAGCTGGTAACGCATATTGATGCCCTTGCGATGCTATTGTAGCAGGATCTCCAGGACGTCGGCGGCATATCGTTCTCGTACAGATAAGATACAATATTAATGAAATTAGAACATTAATAACATGCTACTGATGTGGATATAATTATTATTGCATTCCATTACAATTAGTATTAATGCGAAAGGCAAATCTATAGCATATATTGACCGATAATCGTACGATATGCACAAGATTCGGGTACAAATTTCATAAAATGTTGGTACAATTTGCGATGAAAGGAACAACGTATGTCTGCGGGAATGTAACATCAAATTACACGTGCGAATGCGGGAACAATTAACATAATATACGCTGACACAATATCGTTAAGTAATGGGTTAATAAGTGTAATCGTAAGTAATCGCTGCAAATATAATTATCAAAACATACTAGCATTTGTGTAATAAATTACTCTCGCACAAAGTACATATTTAAATCACAAACAAGACCAACCCTAACGATACGAGGTTATAGGATACGTTTGGTCGATGCAAATAGGCGTGATATATATACGTATAGTGAGAGGCGTGTGCGCTATTGGCAAAAAAATGTTAGGTAATCAGGATAATTTTATTCTCGTATAAATACACCTTAAAACGAAGCATTTGTTAAAATTACAGGACGTGAACGCAGCAATCGTTGGCAAAACAATTTCTCACAAAAAGGATCGTATTAGATTATAATAATGTTAATTAGGATAATAGTAACTGGATAATTATTCAGTAACATTAACATTACATTACGGTACAAATAAGGGTAAAATGTAGAAATCATTAACAACAGTCCTAGTAATAGAAAGTAAAGAAACGTA